TTTCAGTTGTAGGTTGTTTACAGCTGATGAAAGGCAACGAAATTAGATGGGGTCATTTTATTCTTCAAATGTCATTATTCTTGCATTGTTCAAATTTATCAAGGGAATTAAATGTATAAGAGTAAAATTAAATGTATCACATTCTCTAGTTTCATTATGAGCTTTTATTTCCGTATTGCATATACTGTACTAAAAACCCAGTTCTTGATACTATCGGGCAATTCTCCTTGAAGTAGTTAGATTGATATAGGCAGTTATACGGTATAGTTATCTATTATACAGTAAACAGTTGATCTACCTAAGTAATTATGTTTTAAATGATAAACTTTGTAATGTATTTTTGAGATGAGTGGGGATTTTTAATTTAGAGGTAGTATTCATCACTGACTGACATCAGTTGGGGAACCATTGAAAATCCATGAGTCTTGGACAGCTGTTTCTTCCTAGTATGGTACTGGCTAGGGACCGAGCTCAGGTTCTTTAGGTTTCACGGAGAACGCTTTAACCATTCAGCTACAAGGTGTCCAGTCCTCTCAAGTTCTCAATGGTTCCCCAACCGATGTCAGTCTATGAAGAATACTGCCTGTTAATGAAAAAAATCCTCATTCATCTCAAAAATACACTACTGTATAATGCTCATTAATGACACGCTTCCAGATGGATATCACGAAGCTCTAATGAGAAGTCGTCACCTATGGGCTCAACCAGTCGTAAGTGAAGCGCATTCTAACTGAAGACCTTGGGTGATAGTTGCGCTATGCCATCGTGAATTGACAGAAGTTAGAAATTGTGACACATTGGAAACTGACCAAATGGCTGAATGGTTAACGTGTTCGCCGTTAAAACTTGAAGGTCCTGGGTCCGACCCCTAGCCGGGCAGTAGGTGCCCACTGCAGAAGAGTCCCATACTAGTTGGGCGAAACAGCTGTCCAGTGCTCCCAGATTCTCAATGGTTCCCCAACTGATGTCAGTCCATGATGAGTGCTACTTCTAGATAAAGTATCTCTCATACAACTGATAGTATGACGTGAAATAACACCGGATTTGATAGAAAAATAAACACTGGTCACTAAGTGATTGGTCATTACTGACACTTTCATTCATTGACTTTGAAAATTTATTTGGTAAACAAATAAATTCGTAAAACTATCAATAAATTGAAAATATTATTACACAGCTACATATGACCTTTGACCTAATCGGACTAACTCCAATGTCATACAGTACAAAGAACCGAATAGCTATAACCATAACTGTGTTTGCTAAATAAAAGAGAACTGGAACTTGTGTTAAACTCATAAACTGGTTGTTATCTCAACTTGGTATTCATCATTCATCCAAAACGGGGGGGGGTACTGGACAGATGTGTCGTCCCAGTATAGGACTCCTCAGTAGTGCGCAAACATGATCCCAGCAGCGATCAGACCCAGGACCTTCAGGTTTCTTGGCTAGCACGTTACTGTTAAGCCACTTGGTTGCAATCCAATGTTCCATATTTCCTACTTCTTTCAGTTCACTATATAGCACGATCTGGATCCATTGTCGTCTTTGAATAACTGTCCTTCTGTTCGACTTGGTTGACTTCATTGGTTATGACTTCTTGTTGAAAATTTTGAAGTCATCTCTTGAAACAGAATACAGACCGTTGCATGTCAACTCCATGGCTCAACTGTAACGTGCTGGCCGTGGAAATGGAAGGTCTTGGGTTTGATCCTTGGCTGAGTCATGGATGCGTAGTGTTGAGGAACCCTATACTACAGCGAAACATATACCCAGTGCTCCCAGCTTTCCAATGTCTCTTCAACTGATATCAGTTCATGATGAACTGCAAATTGACTGTTACCTAAGTGAGATTCTGATCCAAACCATGGCAACTGTTTTGTTTAAAAAAATCTGATTTTGACTGTTATTGGCAAGTAGATTCACTTCCAGTAAAAGTGATTATCATTAGGCTAAAATAGACAAAGAACCGATCAATGCATGAAACATGATTTAATGAAATGTAGTAACAATATGATGTGACACAAAAAACATGATGTTAATAATACGTTAAACAAGACAATAATGTCAAACAGCCAGCTGGTTCTGGATGAGCATTTGGTCCATAAAGCAGAATTAACAGAAATGCAAGTATAGTTCTCGTGGTGGTGGTGGTGGTGGTGGTAGTGGTTCATTCAGACGGTACAAAAATCTGTAACTCAAGCTAAAGCATCTGATGGATAGAAACTTGATATGCTTTTTTCCCATATTACGTAACATTTTTTCTCTCCTTTGTTATTGACTAGAGAAACGGAGAGTTGGAAAGAGTGTAAAAACGTACCAAAGTACATGATACATTCAACAGACATATTTAAATGAATAAAACAAATTGAAAAAACAAGAATTTGATGAAAAATGTTCGATGGATAAATTCGGTAGCCCACAGTTCAAGCAGGCCGCTATAGTCTGGGTAACTTCAAGTTTATATGAAATTTTATTGAATTCCAATTTAGTATGTGAATTGACTTACTTGACTCATTTCGGTGCAATTTACTTGGTGATAGATAGCGCTTAATTCAAGATTTAGTGGGGGGAAAAAACCATTCAGTGGAGTGCAAGTGCATTCAGTTAACGAGTGAACCCCAAATAGAATGAAATACTCATCCTGGAATCCAATGTTGTCCTTCGTCTAGTAAATCATAACTAGTTTCTGAATGTTTATGTGTTTGTTAGAGAGTGTGAAGATCTTCCACTTACTCATGTAAAGAGTCAAATTTATAAGTTGCTGAATCATCACAATACACAAGCGAATACTTCTCCAGTGATTCCCTGAAAGATAGCAGATCGTCATGTAAATCAGCTTACAATTGTTAAGCTTCTTTAAAACTTAATTACCCAAAGAAATCAATTTTTTAAAGGCAGTTCAAGAATTCTCACGACATTTTATTGAATTCCCTTATATCATCTTGAAACAAGGATAGACAAATTCAAGGGTCTACAAGTGAAAACTAACAAGTTGACAGAAGAGGCAAGGCAGTGAAAACAGGACTTCAAGTGAGCGTGGAAATGACGGAGGTGATGAAGATACTCAACGAAAAACAACAACAACAAGCACCATAAATGGGAGGAACCTATAGGAAGTGGTCTCTTTTGCCTACCTAACTACGTACCTAGGCAGCACTGTTTCAACTAAAGATGGCACAGACACAGATGAGAACGTCAAAGATAGGATCAGAAAGACAATAACACAAGCTTCCTTTCATTATTCTGAAATCAGTGTAGAGATCTACTGCACTTCACTCCACTCAGCATAAAGCACGAACAAGATACGCATTCTCAATCCGAACTCAATCAAGTAAGTCACTACTTCTATGTGATGGTTGAGGGACTTGGCGCGTTACGGAATACATTCCCAACAAACTGCAAACATGTATCACATGTGCAGCTGCCACCTACGCTCGCTGACTCCATAATGAAGATCTGATGAGATGATATCAGATGGCCATGAGAATAAGAATGAGGAAGGAGGAACTGTGACTGGCTGGCTGGGTGGCTGGTTGGCTGGCTGGCTGGGTGGCTGGCTGGCTGGCTGGCTGGCTGGCTGGCTGGCTGGCTGGCTGGCTGGCTGGCTGGCTGGCTGGCTGGCTGGCTGGCTGGCTGGCTGCAAACGAACCAACGAGACAACAACCCATCACCTAACAAGTGTGCAGAAGAAGAAAGTCGAGTGGAAACCAGATGCGAAACGACGAGTTGGTTGTCCGAGGCGAGGCGGGGCGGGGGAGGCGAGGATGACATGATGGAGATGATGTGAGGAAGAAATGAAAGGCAGTGGGGAGTGGTGGAGTGAGGTTGAGAAGACTGTAGAGAAGAGATTGAAATGGTTATGCACTATATGCTTCCGAAGCCCTATGTTCGACTAGGATCTCAAGGGATAAATAATGATAGTGATCAAGCGAAGTTATTTCACACAACTTAATAAGTTATGCTGAAAAACATACCTTAACACAAACATTGTCGCAGTAAAGAGAGGTTTTAACTATACTGTGTAAGTTTATTGCCTAATAAAGAGAAACGATTTGATAGTTGGCATTTTAAGGGTTTTGAAGTTGTCTTCAAAGTCGATATTCACTCATTCATCTGTTTGTTTAACTGTTTATGTTGCTGATGTATAAAAAGTAAGGCATATAAGATTGTAAATATGTAACATATCAGATTGATTTTGTTATATTTTTTGCTTAGGGGCGGCTGTTAGTGGAATCTAAAAGGTATACGTCATTCTTTTTGGGGCACCTTAGCTGGGTGCACTTACTTTCTAGTTACTGGTGATGTTTCCATTGATATTTGAATTCAACATGTTGTTTCAAGCTGTTATTCATCGTAGACTGACATCAGTTGGAGGAACAAAGAAAACCTGGGAGCATTGGACAGCTGTTTCGTCCTAGTATGGGACTCCTCCCTCAAAATTTAATTGAACTGGTGCTCATTGGTGACCAGCTTCGAGAAGTATTCCCGAAGTTCCAATGACAAGTAGTGACCGGTGGAGTCAAAGCCTGATGGCCATGAGGACAGATACTCAGCGATGACATTGGGTGGCGGTTGCGCTATATATCGTGAGCTAAGAGAAGTTGGAAATATGGAGCATTGGATTGTGACCCAGTGGCTTAATGATAACGCGCTGGCCGCGGAACCTGAAGGTCGCGGGTTCGGTCCCTGCTGGTGGGGTCGTGGGTGCGCACTGCTGAGGAGTCCCATACTAGTCGGACGAAACAGCTGTCCAGTGGTCCCAGGTTTTCTTTGTTCCTCCAACTGATGTCAGTCTTCGATGAATAACAACTTGAAATAATTCCAAATCTCCACAACTCCCTCAACATGTTGTGTTTCAAACTCCGAAGGGTTATCCCTTAGGATATTGTGTTACAACACTTATCTCTTATATATATCCATATGCAAAGACCACTGATGACATATATGCTTTTGTCTATGGATGCATAGATTTTACTTGACTATATATAATGTATTAAATCAATGTTAAGTATAAAAAAGCCTTGAGTTTTACGCCTTTGAAAGTAAAATATATCATAGAAAAAGAAAACATCGAAAAATTAATTTGCATAAAAAAGTTGTTGTTGTTGTTGTTGTTGTTTACATTTTTTTCATTCTGCATACATAATTCATATTTAACTCTGACCATAAGGAATTAAGTGATGTTGGTGTATTGTAACCATGAACACTAATGAAGGGGATTTGTTTAAGTGTATATATATCAGGTGAATAAGTTGAATAAATATGCTTTAAATGAATTGGAGTAATACCAAATTTCAATAATACAATACCTAGCATAATATCATCATATGGGATATGTTTAATATAACGAAAACCAATATATAATAATTGAACTACAGGCATACTTAAGATAATAGTACCACCAAATAAATATGGTGGATAAATATTATATGGATAATCTGTTAATGATATATATCTACTATGGAATGGTATACGTATAGGATATGAGATATGTTGTAATTGACCAGATGCATATATTCTATACTGACTTGGCGTAATCCCGTGTAATAATTGAATTAAATTCATTGGATGTAAAAAATAATCATCATCCATTAAGATAATAAATGATTTTTCATTAGTTAAACAATATTTCATAATAAAATCTATACTACCAATCCATTTATTTAATAAATTTGAATAATTATCAATGAAATCAAATTGAATTATATCATGATAATTAAAATGTTCATAATATAATTTCTTTATATTATCATCATCATGATGATTATTTCTATTCAATTGATCTATTTTAATGTTTATAATTTGATCATAATAATTGTTTATTTTTCCAAGAATAAATAAACTTCTTATATAAATACCAAAATTTTCATAGCATTTTTGATTAGCCCATGTTTGACGAATAGCTTGACGTTGAGTAAAATGATTAACATGTGATCTAATGATGAATAGAATATCAGCTGTATGATATAACGATTCATTATTACTGTTATTACATGGATGATTTTTAATCATACACATAAGTTTATATTCTGTAGATGATAAAGGAAAGATTATTTTCCATATAGATGATAAACTTGAATTCATTCTTATTCTTTCCTCTTCATAGATTTTATACAAGTCGTAATTTGGTGGAAAATGAAATAATTGATAATCTTGAAAGTATAATATAATCAATAACCAAATCCCACCAATAATACATAAAAGTATACTGATGATATATAGAAATTTTATTCTTCTCCTATGTGAATAATAAATTGTATATTTGAATAAACAACGAATAATATGAAATTGCATAATCATCTCTATAGAATAATTTCATTGACTTAATGAACAATAACTCCGTGTGAACACAATTTTCTTAATGATTGAAAAATCAATCAAAAATACCTGACAAAGAATAAATGTAAAAAGAATAAAAAAATGCATATTATGTATAATTGTGTGTTTCCTTTTTATTATATTATACTGTCATTGATTGGACCGAATTGATCGGTCTCTATTGGTATATAGGATGATGGCTGGTAGTGGAATTCAGCTGATGAGTCCTAAATAGGACGAAATGAGTATCCTGGATTCCACTGTTAGACACTAGAAAAAAAAGCATAGTTTAACTAATTTGTTGATATTCAAATGAAGTGATGAAGATAAAAACAGTAAAGTAATCTTCATATTACACATAATGTTCCCATGAGGTTTCATCAACCGCAAACACCTAATAGACAAAATAAGGTATTGATGGTAGTAATGCCATAATAAAATTTAAATAAATGAAGATTTGAAATCCAGAATTAACAAAGTAAACAAGCACTTCAAGGAACTTTTGATGAAGTAATTGATTGATGAAGTAACCTATAATGAACTGAAATCAAGAGATTCATGATTACCTTTCATGTATGGCTTTCCAAAACTACATAACTTCAGTGTTCCTTTATGACCCATTTTATCAATTATAAATTCATCTTGTCATAGGTTGGCTCGTTGGTTAGCAAAGAAACTGAAAGCCATCAGAAAAAAGCTCAAACATAACAGCTTAAAGGATACATTCCCATTTATTAAAATAACTGGATACATTAAGTATCTCGGATAAATTCATGGTATCATTTCATGTTTCTTCATTGTTCACGAACATACTAGTGGATAAAACGATAGATATAATCTGTGAACAGTCTGATCTATTGCCGTTGCCGAAAACAGAACTCAAACGATTACTGATCCTCTGTAAAAAAAAGGTGCTTAGTTTCAGTTTAATAATCAACTATACTGGCAAACAGACAGAGGGGCTATAGGTTCACTATTACAGTTTATCCTAGCTGATAGGCTCATCTCAAGCGAACAAGTATGAACTCTGCAATCAACGAAATGACATATAACTGCAGATATGTCGATGCTACTATCGCTGTTGGTGATAATATGAACCATGTGCCATAGTTGTTCAACACCTTCAATCAACCCCATCCAAGTATTAATTTTACAGTAGAATAAGAAAATGAGGACAGATTCAATTTCTTGATTCTAAGTAAAAGACGGCTAAGTGATACTTTTGAAGTGTAGACAGGAGTAAAACAAGGCTGTCTATTATCACCGACGATCTTCCTGATTGTAGTGGATCTACTGCACTTCACTCCACTCCACTCCACACAACTCAGCATAAAGCTCGAACAAGATACGCATTCTCAACACGAACTCAAAGTGATCAACTCATACAAGAGATTAAATAATTAAGACATTTCTTGATTCTCATAATTGTACGTCATTTCACTGGATCGAATCGTCCAATTTCTGTTAACATATGCGCTTCTATATCAATGTATCGATGCTGCTTAAAAATTCATTGTTATAATTTGCTTGGTAGTCTCTAGAAGTGGGACCAAGCAGGCACATTTCATCCTATCTGGGACTTGTTGTTCGTATGTACCTGTGGCACAGTAGGGAATATTTATTTCACTTAAAAGGTAAAGTGTAATTATTTATTTATTTATTTATTCAGAAAAATTAAACAAATATGTGGGCTTTCAAAGACACAATAATTTTTGAGCGTAACTGTTTACAAATATCAATAACTATTTGACATTTAATGTACCTGCATATAAATAAACAACACTAACATGTATATGTTTTCGACTGACTAATTGTTGAATATAGTCATTGAACACACTTTAAAGAGTAGTTAACAGAGAATGCATAGCTTATATAAGTAAAAAATTAACTGAATAACTAATGTCGAAAGATTAATACTTCTAGAAAAATGTGAGGATAGCTAATATTTATTGATTAATTTGTAAAAAAATAAATCTGGTGCTTTGCACCACTTAACAGTTTCTAGAGAATACCTGTATAAGAATTTGAGTATCAAGTGGGATACAGTGAGTCAAGTTCTACAAGCTAGAAGAAGATATTTTACTACATCCCTGGATGTTACTTTCTGTAGAGAAGCTCTCGTTCTTCAAAACTTTGAAAATAAGGTCCTGTTACTGACAATATCCATGTGTGTACACAAGTTTACTTGTTCCTGTGAAGCTAAGTAAATAGGCCGTACTAACAGAACACTGTTAAGAGGCGACCGAAAATATTTACTGAAATGCTTTTCAAAAACATTATGTTATATTCTTTTATGCAGCACTTATACACAGACCATTCAACATGACGAGACGCAGCCATTTAAAGAGATTTTTATTTCATCGTCTTTGTACAGCAGAAGCTCGCGTTATAGACAAATAGAATGCTGAATTACGTTTAAATGTACGATTTGCTTAATGTCTTTCTCTACTATGACCTTTGTTCCATAACTGTTTGACATTGTTGATCGAAATCCTTCTCACTTTATTTTGTAGAGTATTCCCGTTTCCCTAAGTCCATCTTAGTGTTCATTAGTGACATGTTTCGAGATGAATATCTTGAAGTTGAGATGAGAAGCTGTGACTACTGGGTAAGACCAAGTCGGGGATTAGAACAGATACTCAGCAGTTGCCATGGATGATGGTTGGGAGGTAATACGCATCAATAGAAGTAGGAGAATATAAACCGTTGTATTCTAATGCACTGGCTCAATGGTACTGTACTCACCATTTGAAACCAAAAGTTCTGGGTTTAACCTTTGGTGAGGTAATGGATGCCCACTACTGAGGAGTCCCTCACTGGGACGAAACGGCTGTCCAGTGCTCTCAAGTTTTCACTTTACCACCAACTAGTGCCAGTCTGTGATGAATACCATCTTAGGAGTACTTTATATTTTGTAAATAAGGTCAGATGCCTATCATACGTAAGATTTCTGATGTGCTTTCTTTATACGGCAACACCACAGAGAATCTGAATTCTCTCTTAGGCATGTTGCAATCACCCCAAACATTGTCACTCCTTCTTATATATCAGTTTTGATGAATTCCGGAGGTAGTTATTAAGAAGCGTCTTCATGGATGGTTTAATCGTGAAGCTTTCACTGTCTTTATAGATGAAATCATCAGCACAGATTTCAGAAAGAAGTAAGCGATAAGTTTTTCTCCTCAATTTATTTGGAAGCTTGTCCCGATAGCCTTGGTTGCTTCTGCCAAGGTCTAGTCACTGTCTCCATATTTATTTCGATTGGTTGTCCTGCTGATGTGAACTTCAACCTTCTTATTGTTTCATATTGATTGGTTGATTGGGTCAATGTCAGTATGTCTGTTAATTACTGACTGACGTGAATATCAACCTTCAAAAAGTTCTCTGGCATTCTTTATGTTTCCTGTCTCTAGGATTGCCACAGTTTACCAGTCAACTTCATGTCCATAGTCGTCTTTATGCATTGATATGAACAAAGATATGTCATGACGCTTCACTGCTGATTGATGATCATGTAGGTGGATACAAGGAGAGCAATCACTCTGTCCAATGTAGTTGTGTTTGACTAGTAAGTCAAGAAAACTGAATAAGCAACTGAAACACAACACAGATACACTACTTCACAATAACTATCTTCCAGAATTAGTTAACGTCTACAAGGACTGGTGAGAGAAAGAGTAGTAATGTTACTGGTGAATACAAAATGCGAAAATGGAACTTCAAATCATCTGTGGTGTTGCCGTATGAAGAAGTGACATCGACAATTTTCCGTAGAGCTCTTAACAATGGTGAGATTTGAGAAACTTTACAGGTTAAAAGGTCTAATATAGCCAATTAAGAAAAATAACCCAATCTATCAAATACCATGTAGTAGTCGTGAAGTTCCCTAGAAGATTCGGATTTCGCCAACGATGATGATTTTTATCTAATGTCTCACAGCACAAACTCGAAGATCTACAGGTGAAAACCAACAAATTGACAGAAGAGGCAGGGCAGCGAAGACAGGACTTCCTTCAGGTGAACGTAGAGAAGACACAGAAGATGAACATACTCAACCAACAACAACAGCATCAACAACCAGCACCAATCACCATCAACAGAAGGAATGTGAAGGAAGTTGTCTCTTTAACCCACGCACCAACCTACCTACCACTTCACACCTACCTACCTACCTAGGCAGCATCCTCTCAACTACACATGGCACAGACACAAATGAGTATGTCAGACAGGATCAGAAAGACAGCAACACAGGCCTTCCTGCATTAATCTGAAATCAGTGTGGAGATCGACTACACTCCACTCCACTCCACTCCACTCAGCACAAAGCGTGAATAACATCCAGAATTTCAACACCAATTCAGTCAAGTCAGTGCTTTCATGTGATGGTTCAGAAACTTGGCGCGTCACGTAAAGCATTTCGAACAAACTACAGAAATTCATCAACAGCTGCCACCTAAACTCGCTCACTCGATACTGACACTGAAGATCAGATGGCTAGAATAATAAGAATAAGCAAGAAGAAACTCTGGCTGGCTGCCAACAAACCAACCAAGAACCTATCAGTCAACAAGTATGCAGAAGACGAAAGTGGAGATGGATTGGATTGGACATAAACTGAGAAGGCCGATTGTGGACATCATGAGCCAGGCCAGGTCAGGCCAGACCCTGGAGTGGAATCTAAAAAGGGGAGACAACGAGTTGGGCGTCCGAGAGAAGGGTGACATGGAGGAGTTCGTATGTGGAAGAAATTACAAGTTGTGAGCAGTCGTGCAGCCAGGTTAAAAAGACTGCGGAGAAGAGAGTGTGATGGAGGCGTTCTACTGAATCCCTATGTTCCACTAGGAACCCAAGGGATAATAATGATAATAATGAGTTGTGAAGTCAAGTATGTAGATCAAAGTATTCAACCAGTGTGAGTTAGAATGACAGAACACAAAAACTTGGCAAGACACACAGTGAGAAATCCTATTAAGATAAGTTATTTAGAAAAAAACTCTGCTATCGCTGTACATGCACTGACCTATAAATACACTATACGGTGGATGGGATACGGTTACAATTCTAAAATCAAATACAGCTGGCTAACTGGAGGGAGAGATTAATCACAAAATTTTTTTATTCATTGAATCAAAACCTAACTAAGGAATAATTCATCACATTGCAGAAATATGAAAATTTTTACTATCATTAAACGAAATGAATGAACTTTTGGAGTAGGTTAAGGAAACTTGTAAGTTACATCATAACTGTGAGTAATAAACTCTGCTTAAAACGTCATTCATTTACTTATACTGTATCATTGTGTACTATATTGAACTTGCTGGTGTACAAAATGATTTCTAGTTACACACTAATTCTATACAATCTCCAGAAATCTATGACTTACTTCGAAAATTGTTTGATTAAGTGATTAAAAGGAAGTGAATAGTTCCAATGAAGTTTTGTGGGAATTCATTTCAATATAATTCTTATCACTGACTAACATCGACTGAATATTCCCTACAAACCTTGGATCAGCGGACAACTTTTTCATTCTAGTATATGATTCTTCGTTAGTATATATACCCCTACCAACTTGTGAGTAGTTGAACCTAGAAGGACAGTCAGATGTCACAGTGTAAGTGGGTAGCGTTTTTGTCACCAACTTGATTTCGATTTATTATAGTGTGATGAAAAGTTAGCTGAAAATAATTAAATTGGTTAATGATTGGAGGTGAAATGAAAATTTGAACTGCTGCTGGATTCGAACCAGCTACCCATGGGTACTAGTCTGCTAAACTACGGCCAATTCAGATAGTCAGAATGATAATCAATATGATGCCCCCCCCTCTCCTCTCTAATTCAGTTAGATTTGAATTGGGATGAGAAGTCCTGACTGAGCAGCCAGTGTGAATACGATCAAGAGATAGTAACTCATCACGAATTCACAAGATACGCGAGTGAATCCCTTGGTGATTGATGTGAAACAAAAATCCGGACAACAATCAGACCTCATAACTCAGTTGGTAGAGCATTGAGTCAGAAATCCGGTGGTTGACGGTTGGAATCCGGCAGTGGTCTAAGTTTCCATTTCACCTTCAGTGATCACCGAGTATAAATACTAACCTGCGCAGTAGCTAGAAACATGGTCAACAAATCTGAGATACACTTAAGTGATTTACTATTAAGGAACCCTGCAACAATTTGACATTAATCTCTCTCTCCCTCTCCCACTTTCTGAGTGGAATTTTAAATGACGCTTCACAGAAAACTATATAATAGTCTGTTGTTATGACCACTGCTACAAGCAGTCGATACAACAGGCCAAATATCTAAACTTCAGACCCTTTCCACCAGTGTATTACGAAACGGAGAAACAATATGAATGGGTTATTAACAAGCTAGTGATTACATCTATACCTTATTACTGCTCAATGCTTAACTGTAAGTCAATATTTTTATGACAACTTGAAGAGTTGTAAAACAAAGATTGAACAAGCAAAACTGAAAAAGAAAACTAGAAAACAAAAGACTTACAGCTGTCTTTGGATAGGATTTATTGGTTTTTTGACAAAAGATCTTCCAAATCACCTCATATGATATAACAACAGCATGCTTGAGTCGAATCATACATTATATTTGACTAAAGGGTAGACAAACTAAACAGAGTTATAAAAATAATACTCTAATAGTCTCCATACTCATCTGTATCTTTTTTTCTTCTGTGAATAATTTGTCAATCCTCAATCAATATTACATATTTTCTTATTGAATGTATATTTTGTACCAAAGACACTTCTAAATGCTTCATCTTGTCTCCTTCATAATACAGTTTGCGTGCACAACATCAGCAATAATAACAGAGCACAAGTAGATTTTTCAAATTACACTTGATCAGAGTAAAAACCTATTGTTTAAGCTGGTTTAATTTATCTACTATTCAATCACCAAGTAACTGTTAAATGATTCAATTTCGTTATCGATAAGGACATTAGTTGACCTTGAGAAATAAAATACTCATTGACTATTGGTTCTTCGTGTACTGGTTGAAAATTTCAAGTCACAAAATATTGCTGTAATAGTGAGATGAATAAATAATATCATTAGTCACTAGTGAAAGCGAAAAACATTTGTGAAACTAAAAATTGAGTTTTCAGAGAGTACGAAGTTATTTTCATGTGGCATTCATCGAAGGTACAAGATTTTAGAGTCTAACCAACCTTCAGAGGTAGCCAATCACTTTCGAGTATGGACTGACCAATCAGAATCGAGCATACGAAAGATATCACAGTTACTTATGAAAATGGTATTTTATTTAGAAATTATTGGGATTTCTGTCTATGCTGTCATTCACCTGTGAGATCACATCATTTTCTCTTGTAATTATAGGACTTAAGAAATTTTTAAGTCGACTCTATGTAAAACTAACGTTGTTTGTGCATACTCAGGGAAATGATTTCGTGAATGCTGACTTGATGGAGGCAACCTATCTCAGACAACGACATGTACGACTTTCAAGAGTTGGTGTTTACGTTAGTTTTTGTTTTGATTCATTTTTCCCTACCCGGCAGGATAGATTCTTCTAATCTATTCCTTATCAATAGAAAGTGGCCTTTCTTTGTATTTCTGTCGAATACACCAAGAATCTATGAATTTTGTAGACATAGTTATGTAACCTACTCCATCCTGTTTCAGTTGTCTTCCTCGGTTATATTTGCTTTTTCATTCACTCGTACCACATATATCAGAGCAAACATCTTCGTATTGCTGATACCTAGTATAGTACCTAAACCTTCATTTTTTGAATAATTGAATTAGACCCTTCGAAAAACTATCCCACTCTCAAAGATTTCTTCTTGTATCAGCTGAGATTTCAAAAGATTAGGCCATTTCTTTTCTCATTGGTAGGCACACAAGTCAATTTAAACTTGTCGATCACAATCGAATTCTATCCAAATAACGGACAACATAATCGTAATAATTCATTAGGATTGTGTATCCACAGTCAATGATGTCGTCAACAAACACAAATGAACAACCTTGACCTTCAACTCCCCTTACACTTGATTCTCGAGAAAGCAGGTAATATCTAAGGGAATGATAAAGCGTCACATAGATACTCTACTGACTGACCGAACTCCGAGCTGCTAGTTAACCTTCCAAGTACGTTTAAACAATGGACTAATTAATTGTCTCAGTAGGTTTTCAGGTGACCTTTAGAGTCACTCGTTGAGTATGTTATCTATCTATTCACCTACTTCTGTTCAATTGATACTTTCTCTTCATGTGTTCACTTACATCAGTCTACGTCTCTCACTGTAACCTTCATTCTGATTGGCTGTCTTTTATCTGTCTTATCAATTTTGTGCATGAACTGATCTCAATTATTTTGGCTAATCTGGTTATTTGACTTCATGATTGTTTCGGCGAATTTATCCGAACGGAGGTACCGCAGAAGAATTATCGTTTAGATTAAAAAAAAGTAGCCATGTAAGCCACCCTAACAACTGTTAAAGTAATCAATTAAAGTCTTGTATTTCATATAAAAAAACTAACTTTTCAGTTGAAATCAAAACATTCCTTTGGGTTTTTTCAGTAGTTGCCTTTAGAGTCATTTGTATAAACCTCAGTAATTTTCTTCTGATCTTCTGAAGTTTCACCAGTCGTTCTGGATAGAGCTTAGCTGTTACGACTTTATCTAGACGTCATCATCTGACTTACATGACTCTGCTGATTCAGTCTTGTATTATGTACTTACCAAATCTCGTACATTCAATCCATCCACAAGATGCATCACGGAATTCTGCCATCCCCTTCAACCTCGTACAACAGAGTACAATGTCTGATGCTTATTGTTCATATATTTCAGTTGATCAGATTCCTCTGTATATCTAAGTCAATTACTTGACCGCGATGTACAATGATTTTAAGTACTAAATATGGGATACTTCAAACTGACAGATTTCACCCGACATACAGTTATTTCCGAAATAAACAAGTCAGAGGTCAATGCGAAGCTCTTGAGTCAAGCTATACAATAATGTTACCAATAAAGTAATAAGTCAAAGGACTAATGAAATAAATATAATATTACAATCAGTCATACTAATTTGGGGTACATGTTTTCCGATTTTCAACTGATATAACACTAGCAATCATTATTGTAGATTTAACAATAACTGTCAAAGTATTGACAAACCAATGTAAAAGAAAGTAAAGATGGAAAGTGGCTAGCAGTGGAATCCAGGATGTGCATTTCTTCCTATTTAGGACTCACAAGTCAGCTGGATGTACCTACTGGCTCCCAGTGAGTGATATTCTTCCCACCGGGATTCAGACTCGGGAGCAATAGCTTCAAATTCCAGTACGTTATCCACTACACCACCGAGCCACGATAGCTACTTGTTGTGCGACGGGTATAGTTTTAGTATAATTGTTTTTATATGATACCGTCGTTGATT